ATAGTAATATTGTGAAAAAACAAAAAAATTAACAGTTTTCTATTAAACATATTTAAAAAAAAAAATCAGTTCTGTGATGTTAAAGCTGAATTTTCAGTAGCCATTACTCCAGTCTTCAGTGTGTCATAATCCTTCAGAAACCATTTTAATATGTTGATTTGGTGCTCAAGAAACATTTCTCATTATTATCATCAATGTTGAAAACATTGCTGCTTGAAATTTTTGTGAAAGGGATGCTTTGTTTTTTCAGGGATGCTTTGCTGAATACAAAGTTTTTGTAACAAATTATCATTTTTGTAGCAAGTCACTTTACTGTCACTGTTGATCAATTTAATGCATCCTTGCTGAATAAAAAAAAATTTAAATTCTTACTGACCCCCAAACTTTTGAAACAAACTTGTAAACTATCAACAAGTGTGATTTATCTCCAGACTGTGATTTTACATTTTCATTGTATTTTTAATAGACAAAAGCATTAATCTGATAGTTTATACTCACCTTATACAAACAGGTATCCACAATTTCATTGCAGACCCTCTCCAGATCATCAGTCACCTCCAGTCGTGAACGAACAAAATCACACAGCTCCTCATTGGCCATCACATCCCAGATCCCGTCACAAGCAAGAACAATAAACTCATCCTCCACCTCCGACCGCTCGATAGCATACACCTCAGGCTCCGGCGACACCAGCTGCTCCGTGGGACCCTTACCATGCACACACTTATAGTCAAAGTCCCCCAGAGCCCTGGACACCGCCAGGGACCCATTGACGCGCTGGATCATCACAGATCCTCCAGCGTTCTGGATCCTCTCCTTCTCCAAAGGGTTGCTGGGTTTGTGGTCCTGTGTGAAGAAGTGCACAGCCCCTCCGCGGCTCAGCAAACCCCTCGAGTCTCCGCAGTTGATAAAGTAGATGTGGCGGGGTGAGATCATCACACCAACGGCGGTCGAGCCACTGTGGTCGGCACCACCGTGTTTCTTCTCCGAGATCTGCCGCATGTGATCGTCGATCTGCAGGAAACCAGTACGGATTCCAGATTTCACGCTGTCTACGCTGGGCTCCACAGCTGGACCCCCTCCTCCGCCTCCACCCTGGAACTCAGGGTTGCTGGTGATGTGCTCCAGGAGGTGCTCGCAGCAGTAACGTGCCACCTGCGATCCTGCATGCCCGTCGTAAACAGCAAAGAACGACCAGGGGTCCAAGCCATTGGGCAGACCAATGACAGCGGTATGCGCATCCTCCATCTCTACACGCCAGCCCTGCATGCTGCTCAGGCCGTAGCACAGGCCGTTGCCTTCACCATGAGTGTTGTGCTTCTCCATCTTTGGCTTATCCAGAAACGCACCCATCTCTGCGGCTTAGAAATCTAGTACAGAAAAGTTTGAGAATGATGAGCAATATAAAAAAAATTGTGTTTCATTTATATGCCACTTACAGCACCAAAATATTTGAGATTTGCATCCCAGCTGGGCCAGATATATGGCTGCACGATTCATCGAAAAATTAATTCTGTATAGGGTTGTCATGGTACTAAATTTCAGTAGTCAATACCAGTAAAAATTTCACAATTCTCAAAAACCTTCAATTTCGATACCTGTTACCTACTAGGGTTGGGCGATGTCTACCAAATTGGCATCGGACGATGTCTACAGTGAAACATCGTGATGGACGATGACATCGGGGGCGGGGCGGGGTTAGGGGTGTGCATCCCCGCAAACAGTTTTTAAAAAATTTTTTTTATCACATTTTAAATTACAGTCACCATTTTTATTACAAATTATATTTTTCCCCCCCAAAATCATGCAGCCCTAGCGCAGGATGACATGTTTGTCTCAACAATGAAAGACAATTCTGTTTGGTGACACTTGCGGTACACAAATTATATACTTCAACTTTAAAGTAAACTGACTCTCCCACCCATCAATTGCACAGTTCAATAACCCTGTTCAAGTTTTAAAACACTGTATGAAATTGCAACAAGTAAATGTTTAACAATACAACTTTTTAATCTCAGCAGAATAAGCAAAATACAAAAAATAGTTATATAGTGTAGTTCTTATATGCAAAAATTAAAGCCAATTTAATTTAGGTTTTCAATCCAAATAAGAACAGGAAAAATTTACGTTGCCTACTCATCTTAAGATGACATTAAAGTTACAACGAAACAGGAGTAGTAACAGATTTGAGGTAATTAATTAAATGGATTACAATTAGGTAATTGAGTGAAATGGATTACAGAAAAAATATGTAGGGGGGAATTGATTCTATTCACTGGTTGTTGATTGATGAAGACATATCTGAATGCCAGCATGCAGTCAGTTGTACAAAAGGGGCGGGGTTTCAGCGGACTAAATGATTGGAGAAGCCTGACATACGTCACCAGAGACAAGTCTGTTGTTCGCCTGAGGATTATGCATTAAGGGTTCATTTTCATTTCATGTCGACTTAAAACAATTGTTTACTTGAACATGTAAAACATTTAATGGGAAGTTTAATGCTAACCCGAATCAAGCGTAAACACACACACCCAGCACAAGACCACTATTTATAATTCATGATGACCGAAACTACAGAAGTCTTGTCATGCTAGTGGTCACTTCAGAAATAAACTATGGCATGCCAACACGCACAAGAAACAAATGTAAACACACACACACAAAGGCAGGCAAACGCACATACAGCGGGTTCCCAGCCATGTATGGCTATCAGCTAACGCACTGCTACGCACACTACACACTCACTCCTATACTAAAAATAGAGAAGTAACGTTACCGATGCATTCTCACCATTGTTCACCACTCACATCTATCACAGCTCACTCTGAACACAAAACCAGTGCAATTTATAAAACCCAAGCCTTGAACCCTGTATTTGTTTGCTGCAGACTGGATTTACTGCTAGAGTACATTCGCGTTTTACAGTGAGATATCAGCAATCAATGTTCTTTGCCCTTGTTAGTGCTGAACAGCAGTGAACTGAAAGTCTGCGCGTGCAGACATGCCGCTTGTTCACGCGCCTCTATTCCGCATTACGTCATGGTGTAGGGAGCCTGTTAGCACGCTAGCTCCATGCTAACACTGACGTTTGGGTCCCTTCAGTTTGACTGAAACATTCAGACAACGTGAAATGGGTTAGTGGATGTAATTGGGAAATATAATGAGTTAAGAGTCTGGCAGATACCCACTGTTAAGGTTTGAGGTCAGACAATCTAGCAAGCTAAATGCTAACGAAAGGCCCATGTGAAGCCTCGGGCTTGTGTTGTCAGACCCGCGGCCCTCAGCGCACCATGCGACGGCCACATACGACAGATTAACCCACCGAGCTCACACAACACCCGCCTACTCCCTTAGCCTACATGCTAACAAGCTAGCTCTATCATTCACATAGGCATATTACAAGAGCAAAGAAACTTACCCACTAAAAATGAGCCCTGGAGAGTTCTGTAGTGGAGGAGGTAAAAATCAGATAAAAGAGAAGGACGAAAAGAAAGAGAGAGATATAAACTGAGCGCGGCGGTGGTGAGAGAGACAGGCTGGCGGATTGTTTTGCTCCGCATTCAGTCTGTGAAAGAGCGGATCACCCTTATCTGTTTAAACCAAGGATGCATCATTCCCATTTATTCAGCGTCCTGAACGTGGAAAGTGTCGGGTTTGACCGCTGTTTTGGTCCGCTGTGTTCGGGACCGAATGTCTGCACACCAGCAGCAGCGCAGGACCCGGATGTGGATTCAGCAGGGCTGCGCACTTAAAAGAATGACATCATCATCATCTCTCCATCAACATCATCCCTCCATCTGTACATCATTCCCTCGCCATCGTTCATTCATCATCCCTCAGTACATAATTATTTTACCACTATGCATCCATCATCAGTCCTGCTGCATCCTTTATCTCTAAGCACTGGTCATTTTTTTAAACTCTAATTAACATGTGTGAGACTGAACAAAATGCCACATAATAACAGAAACCCATTTTATACACACTTAAATGGAAGCCAATATGTTAAGTGGAAAAAAAATAAAAACAGATGAACAGATGTCAAATAGTTATATGCAATTATTTCTATAATACCATATGAATGTCTAATAACACAATCCGAGCTTTGATTTAACATCCATCTATCTATCTATCTATCTAGTCGGGTTTGACCGCTGTTTTGGTCCGCTGTGTTCGGGACCGAATGTCTGCACACCAGCAGCAGCGCAGGACCCGGATGTGGATTCAGCAGGGCTGCGCACTTAAAAGAATGACATCATCATCATCTCTCCATCATCATCTCTCCATCAACATCATCCCTCCATCTGTACATCATTCCCTCGCCATCGTTCATTCTTCATCCCTCAGTACATAATTATTTTACCACTATGCATCCATCATCAGTCCTGCATCCTTTATCTCTAAGCACTGGTCATTTTTTTAAACTCTAATTAACATGTGTGAGACTGAACAAAATGCCACATAATAACAGAAACCCATTTTATACACACTTAAATGGAAGCCAATATGTTAAGTGGAAAAAAAATTAAAACAGATGAACAGATGTCAAATAGTTATATGCAATTATTTCTATAATACCATATGAATGTCTAATAACACAATCCGAGCTTTGATTTAACATCCATCTATCTATCTATCTATCTAAAGCAATTGTAACACGTCTGAATAGATAGATACACATATAGCCTATATCTACCTGAATATATGTCTGAATAGATGCGTCTGAATATATAGGCTAGCTATCTATCTAAAGCAATTGTAACACGTCTGAATAGATAGATACACATATAGCCTATATCTACCTGAATATATGTCTGAATAGATGCGTCTGAATATATAGACTAGATAGATAGATAGATAGATAGATAGATAGATAGATACACATATATAGGCTAGATAGATAGATAGATAGATAGATAGATAGATTAAAATAAACGTGGAGCTGATGGAGTGTGTTCCATTAAGACAGAAGATTACCCCGGAAGGCTTTGACTCGTACAGTAGCTCCTGCCGGTCGTTGTTGAACTTGGTGTTGTTGGTGCAGAATAAGCTGTTACAGCATGTTGTAACACAGACGGATCTGTCAAGCGCTCAGCTTGCGCAAGATTCACCAGTGCGTTCAGCCACTACTCTGTAAAATAGCTACTTTTTACTTTAGTTTCTCGGCTTTTGTGCAGAAATAATGGATATATGCTGGCTGTGTGTGATTCTCGCTGGGATCGCAGTTTATTTACTAACGCAGTTTATACGCTTCATCTTCGCCGACGCTGATCTAACTTTATTATGGGCGGCCAGGTTCGGCAACAAACCAGGTAATATGAATCAGAATCTATAGGCATATAGGCCTACATTTACACACTGAAATAGGCTTGTAATGTAAAATGTTCTACTGTATTGATCGAGCTATTTAAAGGGGTCATATGATGCTTGTTTTAAAGATCATTATTTGGTGTATTTGGTGTAACAGAATATGTTGACATGCTTTAATGTTCAAAAAACACATTATTTTTCAAATACTGTACATACTGTACACATTTGGGCGGCATTATGCTAATATTTCCACATAGTGAGGTAGATATGTGGGGGCGTGTTAGAACGAGCCGTTTTAGGGGGGCGTGGCAGAGTCTTAACTTTGATAAAGAATATCTCTTTGGTTTTGAGACTTTAGTCTTTGCAACTTCAGGGATCTTATCTATGCACAATCAGCTTGTAACACTCCAAAGAGAAAGGAAAACTTGAAATCGCATCATATGACCCCTTTAACAATGTCAAGTGTGACACGTTCCTTCAAGACTGTGGAATTTGCACTCTGGTTAATTATATCTGTCAGTGTTTTAACAACCTGTATGTGTGTGGAGGTCACCATCGCATTATGTGACATGTAGCCTGCTACAATATAATACAGTATTTATATTTTTTAATAAGAAAAAAATATATAAACTAAATTCTATATAAACTGTGATATGTATCATCTAATGTGATATTTCATATTTTTAATAATTACGTTAACTTACAGCTGATAACACATTTTATTTCAGTGTCTTTATACACACACAAATGTTGGGTTTTCATGCTTTATGGCAGGGGTGCCCAAACTCGGTCCTGGAGGGCCGGTGTCCTGCAGAGTTTAGCTCCCCTGCTTTATGGGGGTTTTCCATAGATATAATGATTTTTGTATACTCTATATTCTATACCCTACACCCCAAACCTAAATCTAACCTTCACAGAAAAAAAACAGCACGATTTAAAGCTGTTTTCCTCATACACTCTCAGAAAAAAAATCTGTCAAACCTTTTCAAAAGGTACGCTTGCCGCCTTAACCCATAAAGGGTGCACTTTAGTACCTTAAATGTACATATTAGTACCTTTTGAAAGGGTACTGCCTCAGTGACGGCTTCTGTACCGTTTTTTTCTGAGTGTTGGAACCAAATAAATAAATTAATAAAAAATGTGTCCCCTGAAAAAAATCTTGCAGCATAACAAGCACCTTGTAGTTGTAGTTGTAGTTGCACACAGGGGCGGCGTTTCCGTATGGCAGAGTATGGCAGTTGGCACCCTAGCCCAGTCAGCTGTGCCGTGAAAAATTATCCAAACTTCACATCTCTATTATAATTCGTTATTATTAAATAATAAAAATCAGAGGGTTTTACAAATATTTAACCAATGCCAAGTATTACAAAGGGCTTGCCAGTAAAACTTCGTAACGCTATTGGATCCTCAAGCTCTCCGCGAAACCTCGTAACTTCACCCCGCCTCCATTCAGATTGACGCGCCGCGCACAGCCTCGAGACAGAGCTCCGCTTTTTCGCAATGCAAGGGTAAATAAATAACTGATGTTTGAATAGTCAAGCGTTTTCTTCAGCCAATAGCCTATACTTTTGTAGGCCTACGTTTTAAATATCCTGTGCATAAGCGCTTAATCGTTTATATCATGAGATGTTGGCCAAGTGTAGACCTTAAACAACAAGAAAAACTAAGCGCCCATATAGCAACTAAAATGTAACGTTATATAACCTGTAAAAGTTGATGAAAGCGTATAATGCGATGCACTTGCCTCAGATGCGGCCGTTCTAATGACAGACAAAACATAGATCTCCTCATTCGCCGGCCGCCCACAAGCCAAGTTTTAATATCAAATTAAATGTAGAACTGTCAGAAATGTTACAATGAACAATTTCTGAAGGCACAATTATATACCAGCAGCATAGATTAAAATGTATTAATTTAGCTTGAGATTGCACAATACAATTTATTATTACCTAAACATATTTATCTTATATAATGTTCAAACTTTTACAAAAATGTACTTCACCTTGAAAATGCACCTTTTCTTAGACTGTCCCATCTACTGACATTACAGTCCTGCTCTGTTGAGCATTCCTTCCATTACTATACCTTATAAACTGTTTTTGATAACTTTATTATTAATTAAATAATATACAGCATAAGGAGTTGTCCTGTCAGCTCGCGGCACTCGGTGCTCGGCTAGTGCTGTCTGCCCGCAGGGAGAATGAGCTGGAGAGGGTGAAAGCGCATATGTTTAGGTATGAACAGTCCTGAGAAACGTTTGAGAGAGGAATAAACGCTTAAAACCTCTCAGGGGTCAATTAATACACTGTAATTCATGTCTCTTCCCTCAGAGCTGCAGAGTGTGACCCTGAATGTGTGTTCACAATTATCGCTGCTGTCATTACCTGACAGATATGTAAAAGCATCCACATCATTACCTACTGACACAAAATGCACTCTTTCTCTCCTTCTATTAGAGCGCTCCTCTCTAAAGGCTGAGGATATTCTTGTTCTTCCACTTGATTTGTTGGACCGTGCATCACATCAAGAAAAAACTGCTACAGCTCTGAAGCACTTTGGTGATGTAAATGCCATCTGTATTTCATATCCAATCTTCAGAGAGTTTCTGTTATTGTTTCTTATGGATTTAGATTTCAGTAACACCAACAAGTATACTTTTCAGAATACTGACTTTGATTGGATTTTCCTAGTATTAACACCTAAGAATTAAAGTATGCACTGGTTAAAGGTGCATACTTTGAATAGGTGAAAGGTGAATAGGTCACCAAAAAAATGAACATTTGCTGAAAATGTACTCACCTCCAGGCCATCCAAGATATAGATGAGTTTGTTTCTTCATCAGAACAGATTTGGATAAATTTAGCATTACATCACTTGCACACCAATGGATCTTCTGCAGTGAATGGGTGCTGTCAGAATGAGAATTTTTTTATTGATTGATTGATTGAAGTGGCAAGTATGGTGACCCATACTCGGAATTTGTGCGCTTTATTTAACCCATCCAAGTGCACACACACAGTAATGAACACACACACACACACACACACCGTGAACACACCCAGAGCGGTGGGCAGCCATATTGCTGCGGCGCCCGGGGAGCAGTTGGGGGTTCGGTGCCTTGCTCAAGTGTCTCACCTCAGTCTGGTATTGAGGGTGGAAGAGTGCACTGGTTATTCACTCCCCCCACCGACAATTCCTGCAGGACCTGCAACCTTCAGGTTACAAGTCCGACTCTCTAACCATTAGGCCACGAATGGCCATTAGAGTTCAGAGTTCAGACAGAGTTCAGAGTTCAGTTCTTAGAGTTCAGACAGCTGATAAAAACATCACAATAATCCACAATTAATCCACACAACTCCAGTGTATCAATTAATGTCTTGTACAGTGAGAAGCTGCATGTTTGTAACAAACTCATCTACTATGCACCAGTGAGCCAAAGTTCCTACATTACATGAAAATAAAACATGAAAACTTAAGACGTATGCAGAGATAGGTATGTAGAAAACAGTAAATAATCATCTGAAAAACCCGCAAATGCTAGCATTACGTAGCACAATTTTTCGTCATAAATTTCTCTGTTGACATTGGAACAGCTGCAACAGACTAGCAATGCCATTCTGAGCGTCAAGCAATTTAATGCTTTAATATTTAGTAGGATTCCCACTAAAAATTTCTTAATTTTTTGTGTGTCTGTATCTGCATTCTCAGATAGACGTGTTGATAAACAACGGAGGCCGGACGCAGCGTTCTCTGTGCATAGAGGCTGATGTGGATGTGTACCAGGCGCTTATGGAGCTCAACTACCTTGGCACCGTATCTGTCACCAAGCAGGTGCTGCCCCACATGATCCGCCGTGGTAGTGGTATCATAGCAACCGTCAGCAGCGTTGCAGGCTTTGTAGGGGTGCCCCTGGCAACAGGCTATGCTGCGAGCAAGCATGCGGTGCAGGTGAGAGCAAATAGTTGATAGAATTCCCCGAGAATCTGCCTACTCTTATGCAGCCATGTCTGGTAAAGGACAACAGTAATAAAATATAGAAAAAGCTCCTGATTTGTTGTGTTTCTGCAGGGGTTCTTTAACTCTCTGAGAACAGAACTCGCTGATTATCCAAACATCACCATCAGTACCATCTGCCCCGGACCAGTAATATCTACCATCGTTCAGAACGCGTTCACAGAGGAGCTTGGCAAGGTACCTGCACCAGTTTTTTTTTTTTTTTTGGTAAAATAAAAGTTAGATGAAAACTTAAAGGGGGCATTGGATGCCCATTTTCCACAAGTTGATATGCATTATTACATCCAACAACAGAACACCTCAATCGCTTAGGAGTCTCGATTTGAGAAAGGGTAAAGATTTTAGTAGATAAAAAAAAAACACTGGGTGGATTTTTATCATTATAGGGTGGTTGTGTACACACACTGCCAACACACATTAGCATCCTATGACCCCTTTAAACTAAAGGAAATTTGTACTGAATTGTGTTTAAAGGTGAAGTTTGCAGTTTCTGCGCTACTAGTGTCACCTAGTGGAATTACAAAAATAAAGCATATTGTCAAACACAATCCTTTGCAGAACTATCTTAACACGCCTTTAAGATTATTCTTAAGATTATTTATCTGTGGATTGACTGTAAAGAGCTAAAATGTGTGGCAAAAACTTGACTTTAGCTTACCTGGCGAGAAGAAATTCTGCAAATTCGGCATCTCGATTCAAATCGTGTAAAAGCACCGCGAGTGTTTACCGTTGTTTTACCCCGTTGTCTGCGTATTTTGGCAAGTCTTCGAATTTTGGCTTGCACTTCTGTAACAATCTGAATTTCTTTTTCCATGTAACAAGTCAGCTTAACACCCTCCTCTGGCTCAGCCTGCTACAGTAGCCACGCCCCCAAACGCTCGCTATTGGTTAAGCGGGAAAGAGATTGACGGATCTGGGGTGCGTTTCCCAAAAGCAACTATGGTCGAAAGTTCCGACGTTACCAATAGATTTCAATGGAACTAACTACCATAGTTAGCTAACGATGCTTTTGGGAAACGCACCTCTTAGTGGAACGCTCTAATAATGTTTCGATGGTGCCTAGGACGCTCAATGTTTACACTATTGAGGGATATAAACCCATGAATGGCATACTTATAGTAGTCAATTAACAATAAACTGGGCTAAAGACAATGTATTTCAACAAAAAATCTTCACCTTTAAAAGTACTAAAGTAACTGAAATAAAACTCAAAGAAAAAAATGTAAATTTAGAAATACAAAATAAAACAAAAGCACAAAAAATGACAATTTAAATAAAAAAGCTAATTTTAAATATTAATATAAACTACAACAGTATATAAATATAATACTTACTTATCTGCACTCAGAAAGCAAAACAAACGATCATTAATGCTTAACTAAAAAGTCCTTGTTTTTTTCTCTTTAGCCTGTGGATACAGCTGGTGATCAGACCCATAAGATGTCCACAGAGCGCTGCGTTCACCTCACCCTGATAGGTCTGGCCAACCATGTGAAAGAGATGTGGATCGCTGAGCAGCCCTTTCTACTCTTCTGCTACTTGTGGCAGTACACTCCCACTCTGGCCTGGTACTTGACTAATGTTCTTGGTAAAAAACGTGTGCAGAACTTCAAAGCTGGACTGGTGAGTAGTGGGACTTTGGTGTAAACAGATCCCTGAACTGGTTTATTTATGCTACAATAGCACTAATATTTTTTCCGAATCATCTTCTTTTCTAGGATGCAGATTCTGCATACTTCAGCAAGCCAAAAGTCAAGACAACTTGAAAATCTCATTTCAAGAAACACCGATTTGTGAATTTCTTACCAGAAGGAACCGAGAAAGTCACACTATTTCACTACGCCATCAAATAAATATATAAAACCTTATATTTTGCACGCTGTATCAATAAGACAAATGGCAAATCTTTAAAAAATGGCTATGCAGTTGATTTATGTATTCTTTGTGTTTACTGTATTTAAATGTCCATTAGTTGTAAATGGGAATTAATATTCTATAATAATAAACATTTTAAGTTTGTGTGAACAAAAAAGACAGTAAAAGATTTATACAAAACATTTATATTTCTTCCATACATACAATTGCACAACCATATAAAGACCCAAATAGGATAAACAAAGGTGCCAGAGACAATATTTATAACACCAGGTGGTCACATGAAAAAAGAAAATATTCATAACCACTGAAAATAGTAACCAAGGCACATTCTTGAGATCTGACAAACAGGTTCTCCTTTTTAGGGCTCTTGACAGATGCTTAACAAAAAAGTGGAAAAATAAAATAAAAAATGTGAAATGGAAGCTCAGTGTGAGGTGAGATTCAGTCAAGGACACCCAGGGGTTCACTGCTGAGAAAATAGTGTACACTTTCCAAAGAAGAATATAAATCTGGGCTCTGTGTCTGAATGAGTTTACAGTATTATTGTGTGGAGAGGATTTTGCTGGAAAGATCACATTTACTTCATCCCAGCCGCTGAAGTTCATGAATTCATGCATTTCTTCCAGAAGCCAAATGTCACTACAACAGTAGCAATTTTAAATGCTTCATACGTTCAATAAAATATTATACCGTATCCTGAATGAAGAAGAAATTAAATGCAAAAACTTCTGAACGTGTGAAATTCATGTGCTGGCAGCATACGTGTGCGCTGATCTCAGGATGGTTGTGGGTAAACAAATGAAGGTGATTAATTATCATAAGCAGCGTAAATGGATGGGCGGGGATGAATAGATGGGGTATCCCAGAGGTGGATCAGCTGCTTGAACAGTTAGGTTCCTCAGCATCACAGGATGTGCCTGAATGCTGTAGCGCTCCTCGTCGTCATTAGTGGCATATAGTAGCTCCCATGACAAGTTGGCCCACTGGCCCCTCACACTCTCCTCATTCAAAACTCCAACCTGGACTAGAATCTCCTGCAGGGACAACACACGGCTCGTGTACGTCCCCTATGAAACACAGAAAATGTATTACACAACTGCAAATTATCATTTGGCATTTTTTTAATTTAATTTTTTTATTTAATTTGTAACGCAAAGATAATGAGAATGCATGAAGAGTAGGTGTAGACCAAAATTTTAAGTCATGTCAATACGGATAAGTTGATAATTATTTTCATGTAATTGCCAATAATCAATAAATGACCAATACTAAAATTCTATACCATTTTATATGAATTAAAAAAAAAAGAAAATCACTTGCCAAATGCTAAATGTGAATTTAAGCATCATAACTGTAAATGTATATGAAAAATGGATATTCATTTTAAGATTTCCTGAAAATTACATTTAACTGTGTTATTAAATTATAATTATATTAATATTGAAATATTAACAGAATAATTAAATTATAATTGAGTTTGATGATGGCAAAGATAATCTGAATGAAATAGGGGAAAAGAAGCATGTACAATTAAATATCCTATATTGACTGATACCAATAAAAAAAGATGTAATCGGCCAATATAGTACAAATGTTTTTCAGAATAGTCTCAATATAATACAGTGACCTAAACATATGGGGGAGAGAGCGTCAAAATGTCCTTACATACATTATAGTCATGGCTAGTTACGGCAAAAACTCATATATACTCAGAAGAGATGGTTTTTATTGCATCACAGCTAGATATGAGACAGTGTTTGGTAGAAATGGTTACATTCCAATAAATGTGGTGTTTACCATGGTGAGATCGTGTCCGAGAGAGAATAGGAAGGGCTTCTCTTGTACAACACTGTCTTGCCAACTGCGGTCTGTTACCAGGCCGATAAACCAATTGTCATGGTAATCCTGCAAAGTTGTGAAGAGCTCATCCAGACTCTCTACCGGACCAAGAGATGCCTGGTCTACCAAGAGTTTTACACTGTACCTGCACAAACAGAATAAAACAACACCTGTCACATTTTAGATAAGCGAGAAAATTTAGCTGATGTAAGGCCATTTTTTAATGGAAAATGTGTGCTGAATCTTGCTTGTCTGTTACCTGAAAGCCCTAAGTGTGAGCTGATGCAGCTCTTTATTGGCTCGGAGCCACTCGAGTCCCTCAGTCCAGGGGCCGTCCCCACAGTACAGCCTGAACAGCAGATTAGGGCTGAACACCTGAGCATCTGCCCCCAGTGCCACACAGCATGATAGCACCACCTGGGTATAAAGCTCCCGCAGGGCATGGTCCTCCTGCAAACCCAGTGTCACCTGCTCAAAGTCTCCCTCCCCGAAGCTCTCCACCACCAGCTGGGACAAACAAAAGCAGAACCAAGCCTCTGGGAAGCAAGGTCGCAGAACCTGGAGTTTGGAGGAAGACAACTGGGCAGTCCGCCACTCTGCTGGCAGAGAGAAGAGCTCTGAGTATGGGCTTGTGAAGTGGAGAGGCTGAGAGATGCTTGGGATGGTGGTCAAAGTGAGTGCAGGCATGTTATCTTTCCCTTTATCTACACTGGGCAGGCCGAGCCCCAAACCCAGACCCAGAGGTCTAAGGGTGGGGAGAGAAGACAGAGCCATGCTCTCGTACAGGCTGTGGATTTCTACAGAACCTGGAAGAGACACTCCCAATGCTAACTCGGTCTGTCCTTCATCTGTCCGCACCATCATTCTTATCGGCCGCCGTATGGGGACTGGACCGAACAAATCATCTTCATCGGACCAATCAGCAAAGGATGAGAGGCTGGAGCTGTCCTGCCCCCGAAAGTGAGAGGATGAGGAGGACTCAGAGTGAAGTTGAGAGTCCATGGCAACTTTAACCACAACTGGACCTGGCTCTGAGGGTGCGGCATGCTGAGAGCTTTGCGACTTGCGTCCAGAGGTCTGTAGTGACTGACCTTTTGTCCGCTGAGCACCACGTGTCAATTCCTGTACACAGTAACGCAATAAAATCCAGACAAATGTTTTAAGGAAGTCAGAGTTGAGCTGGTGCAGGTGGTCAGGCGAGTCAATGATTCCTGTTAGAACGTTCTGGGCGTCAGAGTAAACCCTGATGGGCAACACAGAGCAGGGGGTCAGAGCATTACCGCAGTGAGGGTTAAATAGTTGGAAACACTGGCCAGGCCGCTCTACATGATCAAACGCTCCTTCAAAAACCTCATCCACACGCCGAGCCTCCACTGTGTGGCATGATGTCTCCTGTAGTTCCAAACCCTGTGGTGAAACATGACGGGTAATAAGAAATAACACACACACAAGAATCATACAACTGGTGTTCTGTAGACAGCGCAAAAGCAAGAAAGCAAGTATACCTTAATGTTTATAGTGCAATAGTCATAGCCCCTCTCTAGAACAGAGATCCAAAGAAGACGACCCTGAAAGCGGCCAAGGTAATGAGACCCTGGAGTACAGGAACCTTCAATCAGATGAAAAAACAAAGAGTTAATAGAAACTCCAGTTTGAAGTGTTGCATGAATATTAGATAAAATGTAATCTAATATTCCTTAACCGGTACATTACAACAATAATAAAAACAAACAATATAGGCTATTGGCTTCTAAATCCACTCTCTGTAATGCCTATATAATGACTTTTATGTCAATTATGTCTTCATCTTAATTTGGCAGCTTTTCTTAGCAAATATTTACTTTTACACTACTGTTTAAAAGTTTGGGGTTGGTAAGTTTTTTTTTTAATCTATTTGAAAGAAGTCTCTTATGCTCAGTAATATTGTGAAATATTGTGACAATTTAAATGACTGTTTTCTGCATTTTTATACATTTTAAAATGCATTTTTTTCTTGTGATGGCAAAGCTGGATTTTCAGCAAACATTACTCCAGTCTTCAGGGTCACATGATCCTAAAGAAATCATTCTTATATGCCGATTTGGTGCTCAAGAATCATTTATTATTATCTTATTATTCTTATTATTAATTATGTTAAAAACAGGTGTGCTGCTTGATGTTTGTGGAAACCATCATGATACATTTTTTAGGATTCTTTGATGAATAGAAAGTTCAAAAGAACATCATTTAAAGGGGTCATATGATGTTGCTAAAAATAACATTATTTTGTGTATTTGGTGTAATGAAATGTGTTTATGCGGTTTAAGGTTCAAAAAACACATTATTTTCCACATACTGTACATTATTGTTTCTCCTCTATGCCCCGCCTTTTTGAAACGCGTCGATTTTTATGGGATAATAATGTAAACTGTCACTTTTGGCCAATGTAATGCATTCTTTTATCCAAAGAGACTTCAAATAAAAAATTTTCTCAGTTCATGCGTTCTCTAAAAAATAAACCCATGACTTTGGCGTTGCTAGCGCCATGCTCTACAGTTTGAGCTAAAATAGGAACAATCTAAAAATATATGATTAATGTGATGAATCAGCATATCATTAATTTTATATTTTGTATTCATTACTGATTATAAATAAATGTTTTAATGAATTAGCTCCAATAGAATTGACAACCTTAATAAATACATGTCATATACTGTAACAGTTAATAACAGCGGCAGTAAAATGAGTGACAAGATTATTCTGAGCTGAGACTATACTAGAGATCAGGTGTGACATTTTTCAGTTGGTCTCACTCACCAAATGCGCCATTAGCAAGTGCAGGTCTGATAGCGGATGCCAGTCTTTTGCAGAGCTGCTGGTAATATACAGAATCTGGGCAAGGGCAGGCGGTGCCTGGGGTGCCCGGCCATGAGCGCAGCGGCCTGGGGAATCCCACCAGGAACACAGGTAGTGTGAAGAGAGGAAGGAGAGGGGCAGACAGAAGGGCAGAGAGAGCCACGACACCTAGAAGAACTGGGCACAGAGCAACATTGAGCACCAGCAGAGTTCCTGCTGACTGACGACGCTGTTTACTCTCTGTCCAGGACGTGATCAATACCGTAAGAGCAAAACTCAGCTTACATACAAACTGAGATACACGATTCACAATCAGAGAGACCTGCCAGAAAATGGGATAGATAAGAAAAATGTTATTACACAAACGTACTTTGCAATGTAAATGCAAAGTAAAAGTTATATTTGGCTCACCAGTATCAGCTGCACTGTGGTGCCCAACTCATTCCAACGTGCGACTCTGTGTCCCCCTGCAAGTCTGATGAT